ATGTGTCATGCTAATCTTAAAGAACAGTGCAATCTCTGGAAGAAGCTGCTGTGGGATAAGAGGGTGACCCATGCAAAAAGGAGAGAAGAGAGAACACCTTTTGGATCTTCTGTTAGCACTCTGATCAACAGACTGAGCTTTCCACTCTCCTGGCTTTCCCAGATGTAAGAACAAGTAAGCCTTCCCAAGGCAACAATCCTTAGGCAAGAATTTCCTATGTTCCTGCTCCGTGCCCTATCTCTTGCAAGTTGAAAGCTGTCCCAGAGAACACATTTTGTAGCTCAACAAAGAACACATATTTTCACATGCTACGCTAGTGAGTCACTTTGCTTCTCGTACTTTTAGATTCAAAATTGCTTAAATGCGTCCCACGGTGGGTCTCTATGTCAAATGGCAGCCTGTCATGTTTTTAGGGCTGTATTTGCAAGCTCTAAACTGTTTCCAGATTGGTTTTCAGACAGATTGGTAAGCCAAAGTGAGCTAATCAATGAGTCCCTGCAGGTAAAGTATGTGGCTTTATGGGCACATAGTAGGTGTTTAATAAATGCTGGTCACTGAAGTTACCAACAAGCCTGAATTAGATGAACTCATGCCTTTGAAATTCAACTTTCTAATTCTTGGAAGAAATCCTTTTCTTGGTCATGATTTTTGTCTAGTTGAAAAAGAGCAGAATCAGCAAAATGGCTTTAAATAAGTGCGAATATCACGGCCTATCATCCAAGGCTCTGCTGGGTGCAGGGGGACATGAACTTGTCCAGGCTTTGAGTATCTTATTCAGAGACCAAATCTGCCTTCTGTCAAAGTTGCAGGGAGACCTGTCTGTGGAGCACAGAGATGCTAATGATAAGGTGTCGGCTGCAGCCCACAGTTGAGGGGCCTGGTGGTGATGTCATGGGGAATAAGGCATGGCATCCGTAGTAAGAATAAACTCCCACTGCTGAGGGCAGCAGCACAGCACCAGTCTTGGGCTGGGCACGATGCTCAGGGTTTATTTTAGAGCCGAATGAAAGCAGGCAATTATCGTGTTCTTTAACTATAATCAGCCGAACAGGATACAGGTAGCCACAAAATGGAGTTATTTAAAACAGTAACAAAATCACTTCAAAAAGGGTAATAATCTGGAAGTCTCTCTTTCTGCAACATCTAGTTAAAGCTGTCTAAGCGTGGAGAAGACGAGGAAGGCTTGTTTTGTAACCTTCTCGATGGCAATGGGATCAGAAAAGCTTCCCTGTGAAAGGAGAGGCAGGAACCCTGGCCTAGAGGCCACCCCAGAGCAGCTGAGCTTGGCCCCAGCACATCTAGAGCCTTTGAAAATGATCCCGGGAGAATCCTCGGCCTCCTGCCATCTGTCTGTCAGGGCGATTACCAGGGCAAGGGGCTCTCACTAGCCCAGCCTGCTGGTCCAGCCTGGCCCCGTGACCCCACAACAAGCCCCTCAGCATGGGTTGAAAGTTGATTCTAGACATTGGTTATGAGCCCTTGTCTTGGGCAGCATTTCCTGTGATATTCCAGTAAGACTCCAGGATGGGGCACAGGGGTGAATTCTAAGCAATTCCTGGAATCTATCAGAGCCTGCTCCTGAGCAGGCAGAGTGAGGTGGATTCAGCTTGGTCTCGTCTAATTCTGGCTCTGCCACTTGATAGGTGTGTGAGTTTGACCACATTATTTAGGCTGGCTGAGACTTGGTTTGGCCCTCTGTAAAATGGGGATGATTAGAATCTATCTTTTAGGGGCCAGCCCAGTGGCACGTCGGTTAAGTTCACATGTTCCGCTTCAGCGGCCTGGGGTGCGTCGGTTCGGATCCTGGGTATGGACATGGCACCGCTCATCAAGCCATGCTGTGGCAGGCGTCCCACATATAAAGTAGAGGAAGATGGGCACAGATGTTAGCTCAGGGCCAGTCTTCCTCAGCAAAAGGAGGAGGATTGACAGATGTTAGTTCAGGGCTGATCTTCAAAAAAAAAAAATCTATCTTGTAGGGCATTCTTAGAAAAGTACCTTGCTCATGCTTGCTAAATAAAGTTCATAGACTTCAGCTGTTGTTACCATGGTCCTCAGCTGCGAATCCCATGAGCAGAAGTTTCTGCATCATCTCTTGATAGCCCAGCATGGCTTCTGAAGGTGTCTTGTTCTCTAGTAACAAGTGTGAATTTTACGCTGCATCGTATGTGCCAATGAGCTAAGAAAACCAGGAGGCCTGTCTGTCCAGCCAGCTGGGTAAAGCCTGAGTCAATTCCCATTGCATTAAACACCTCCCTCATTAATTAATAATGGCAATGAAAATCAGACTAATAAATTATAACAGCAGCTGCAGCCCTGCCTTCTGTTGAATGCTTCCTCTGTACCAGGAACTGTGCCAAATGCAATACATATATAACCTCGTTTAATCCTCATGACCACCCTATACGGTAGCCATTATTCTCACCATTTTACAGATGAGGAAACTGAGGCACCAGGAGGGTAAAAAAAACCCAACATTGTGATAACTGAATAAGTTAGGATTTGAGCTCAAGTGTCACTGACTTCAAAGCTGGCGTTTTAACCATTAGGTCAAACTGCCAGTCACTTGGACCTTTGGGAATAACGTAGCTTTAAGAACCCACAATCCAACACAGAACAAAATTAGGCCTTTTGTTGTGAGGATCATAACAAGGCTAGCTCACTACATAGTATATTTTCGTATCCTTCCACATGCCTGATTATTTAAATCTTAGACCATCTCTGCGAGTTACTTTATAAGTGAGAAAATGAAGCCTCAGAAGACGGTAAGCAACTGCTCAAGATTATACCCTGGGTAACTGGCAGAGCCAACCTGGAAAACCAAGGCCATCCTGCATCCATGTCTACAAGGCTCCAAACACATGCGCGTTCCTCTCACTCTGTTCCCGCCCAAGTTCCAACTGTGGAGACAGAGTTGGGCAATAGGAAAAGGGTGAAACAGATGATAATTCTTGCCAAATCCTAGAAAGCCCTTCCAGGGGCACTTGCAGAAATCCCCAGGATGAGGACGCAGACTGTGGCATGGTGGGCCAGTGAGGGACCAATTAGAGTTGTCCACGTGGTCTGCAGTTGCTTCACGGCTGGGTTAGTGTCAGGGCTGTGTCGATGGTGAGCATTTCTGTGTGCAGTTTGTTCAGGGACTTTCCTGAGCCAGATGTTTGGCTGGTTCATGGGCTTCCCTTCTGTCTCAGTAAGCACACATTCTGTTTGAATCTGCTGTAGGGAAAAAAAGCCGGAGGACAGGGAACAAGACTAGAAGAAATGTTCTAATGAGGAAGAGGCTTTGGGAACTTGCTAGGAAATTGTGTGACCACTAGTGTCCTCTTAGGCTTTGCTGCCCAAGGATGCCTATGTGGAGGTAGTAAGGAGCTGGTTTCCGTCTCGATTTGGTCAAATGTGGGCAGTTTTCTACTTGGTACCCATTGGTGGCTCTTTGTTTAATCCATGTGTGTGATGCCTCTAACTTATTGTCTAGAGGAGGAGGAGGCCTTCACATCACATCTTGCAGTTGACTTCTTCAGTCTCAGCTGTGTCATCATCTACTCAAAATTCATGCAATCAGGCAGTCATTCATGCATTCAACCTTTTAAAACTGAATACTTACGTGCTGGGTGCTGTGCTAGGTGTTAGTGGTAGGTGTGAAACAGATCCAACAGCAGTCCTGCTGCCTGTTACTTTTATTTAGGTTCAATCTCAGCACAGCATTAAATATGCTCCATATTAAGCACTGTATCATTCTAAAAAGGGATTTCTGTGGAAAGAATTCTCTCCAGTCATTTAGAAGTTCATGTATTGCAGTGTTAACATATCACTTGGCAGCTGTTATGTAACTCAGGTTGGACTTAAGTCTCTCTCCTTTGGGGTGCCAGGAATAGTGGGAAGAGGAGCTAGAGGGAAGGAAGGAATGTGTGTCTCCTTTGGGATAAGATGTTCGTGCCAGAGGTCGGCCCCGTGGCCAAGTGGTTAAGTTGGTGTGCTCCGCTTCAGTGGCCCAGGGTTTCACCAGTTCGGATCCTGGGCACCGACAAGGCACCGCTCATCACGTCACCTTGAGGCAGCATCCCACATGCTACAACTAGAAGGACCCACAACTAAAGTATACAACTGTGTACCAGGGGGTGCTTTGGGGAGAAGAAGAAGAAGAAGAAAAAAAGATTGGCAACAGATCTTAGCACAGGTGCCAATCTTTATTTAAAAAAAAAGATGTTCGCTCCATCTAAAAGTTGTTAACTTAGTACCAGAAAGTGTCATTCTCCTTTACTTTGTAAAGTCCGTGATGGGAAATTAAAATATCTGGAACAATTATAAAGTAAAACATCTTTGCAACTGAGTGACGGTCATAACTGGAACAAGAGCTATACTTTTATCAGCAATGGAGAAAAAAATGTCCATTTTCTTGTTTTGCAAACTGTGCTGGTTTCAAAAGGAAGAATATATTCACTTTTATGGTTGTAGGAGTCAGGCGAGGGGCTTATGACCAGGGAGCCAGCTGGTTTCCAACAAATTGTCAAAGTGCTGGTCTTATCTTAGTCCAGGCCTGTTTCTCAGTGCTTGAGGGAGACAAAGGATCCTGTTGTTTCTTACCCAAAGTGGCCCTTCCCAGCTCTCCTTGACCTTGGAGACCTGGCCCAAGTGGATTCCATCCAGAGCCCAGAATCGGGTTCAGAACAGCATATTCCCTTTGGAGTATCCTGGTCCATACAAATCACCCCTGTTCAAACCAAAAACGACTGTTTTGTCAAGTTGGGGGGCTTTTCCTCCTCCCCTCCCTAGTCCAATACCTTTATTCCCCTTGTTCTTCAAGTTCCTGTCTAAGTGACATGACTGTGTCTCCAGTCCTGGACTTTGCCGTGTTCTTTGTCATCCTTCTTAGGCTGCATTTATCTGTGTTTGTCACTGCTACAATCGATGTTAGTGACCGTTCACCTTGCTGATCCACAGCCTCGTTTGGTTCTCATGTTTTCCCAGTTAATGAAGTTCCTTTCCATTCTTTCCTATAGGATTACCCTTTATGACTATCAAGCCATGTGCAGGGCCAACAAGGAGAGCAGCGATGGTGCCTATGGTCTGCTGGATGTAAGTACAGTGCAATCTCCCAGGAAACAGCTGCACATTTCTGTCTGTCTATCTCTGCGTGTGAGTGTATCTTTTTCTTCGGAATAATCAGGTTTATCTGTTTCAAAACCATGAACTTTTAAAAGTATTTCCTGCTTTTACTGGTTAAGAAAAACCGCTTCTGATTCAACCCAAATCCAGTGATTACATGAATGACAAACAGGTCTAAAGTCTTTGTTGGATTAACCCTTTTGGTGGATAGAAAAGGGGAGAAGTTTTGTTGATTCTCTCATTCTCATATAAAAGAGAATTTGGTTTTGTCAACAGAGGTCTTCCTTCTGTTTGGTAGCAGAGCTGTTAGCCTATGAACAAATTCACATTTCGATCAGATTCTCTAAGCTAAACACGCTGCCGCTGAGTTTCAACGTCATGTCCCTGGAGCTGGTTCCATACATGATGATGTCCCAGTTGAGGATCAGTCAACATAGCTATCGTATCACTAGAAACTGGCTTTCAGACCGCCAGAAATTAACTGTTTTAATTTACTCCCAGTTAAAAGATATAATTTACAGTGTGCAAGCAATGTAAGTTTGGCCACCAATAACTTGAAAACACAGAAAAAATAGATATAGATACTTCAATATAGTCCAGCACGTGTATAAATATCACCCTTACATGTTATCATTTTTTAAATTCTAAAAATTAAACCTAAAATTTGGTTTGAAACACAAAATTTGAGAGCCATTTTGGCTTTAAAATATAAATATACACCTTCTCATTTGCAAATGTAAGCTCTTTCAAGGGGATTATTTAAAAACCGAATATTTAACATGGTTCTCCTACACTGAGGGAACAAGAAATGATTTGGAGCTGGGAAATTTCTGAGATGCAACTGGAACTAAGAGTTGGACATTTTGAAAAATACAGCTTTTTAGTGACAATCAACACATCTTTCCAAAGCCGACTTCCTAACCTTAGCATGCTATTTCCAGGCTTAAAATGTTCCCAAGATATGTTTTCATCATTAGGCTTAAAAGCTCAATGGCTTTACCCTTCTGAATGATAATATGCATTTAAAGTTGTAATCCGTATTTACATAATCCCTTTGTTCACCCGTATATCAAACCAGTGTCTGGCTGGAATGCTTGAGTGCCCTTTCCCCTGGCCTCAGGGTGAGCTGCCCCTGTGCCCACCCTGCCCCACTTCCAAAGCCTCTTTAATCCCTTTATTCATTCTCTCCTCCCTCAGAGCCACACTACCAAGGACCACTGAAATATCACTACCCATCCCAGCAGGTACAAAGACTCAGAACGGTCCTGTGGTCTGACCCTCCCGGTCTTTTTTAAAGAAAGATGATTATTTTTCAAGCCATAAGAAATGGAATGGCAAAACCACAGGACTGCAAGTTTGCATTTGCTTTTAGTAAATAGTTAATCGTTCACATCCTTATCTGACCCTAATCTTGCGGGCCCTGTGATTCGGGTAATGATGTTGACACACTTAGTCAAATCAGAGAGAGAGGCAGTCTGAACTCTGGGTGGGCTGGGAGTAACCCCAGTGGATTTTTGTTGTTGTTCTGTTCATTTACTGGCTGGCTGGAAACAGGGAAGTTTCAAGAATGGTTAAGGGTATTTAAATTGGCTCTTGTTTTGTTTAAATCTAGATAATCTCCCCATTCCTAGTTCTAGTCCTTATCAACAAAATGGTCACAGGTAGGATTAAGCAGCCATCCCTTCATAAACGAGGATTTGGCGTTTGAATTCTCTGATACCTAAATGCAACCACAAAAGGTTCTGAGATTTTTCTAGAGCTGCCATCTGGGGCCCGGGCTTTGCCAATGTCATTGCCTGTCTCTCAGGTCCACCCACCACTCACATATCTGGCATACCTGGGTACAAAGAATCGACTGAGGGGGAGACTTGGTTTTTTCCAGAATTCAGGAAATTGAATTATCCACATAGGAAATATCACAGAGTAAACAATCCAACTGCTTTTTTTAATTAAAATATTCTGAAATAAAGATTAGGCTGTCAATGCCTTCTTTTATGGAGTGAAGGGGATTTTCTGCAAGGAAAAAAATCACATGTTTATATGGTTATCATTTTTTCAAGTCCAAATATGTAAGTGTGAGAAAAGACAGCTTAAATCCTACATAATTCATGGGCAGCATTAAAATCAAGTATATGCAATATTTGCTTCTTTCAGTGAATGACATACAGTGATGGGGAACAGGGAATCACCTTTGCAACAGGCAGCCCTGTGAATTACCATTTGAAATTAGTTACATGATTCGAGCCCCTCAGCATTAGGCTGCAAAATATTAGCCCCTGGAGGGTAAAGGTTTAAGCATCGTTTGCTGAACTTCCTTTTTCCTCCCAGAGATAACCCCATATTAGATCATGTTTATTTTCCTTGTAAATCACATCACACTACAGGGGAGTTCAAAGTTTTAAATGTTAGTTTTGGGATACAGTATCCAACCATTTTCTTCTTTTAGCTAGAGCTTCACTGTTTTTTAACATGATATCAATCTCTCTAGAAGAATAACATTGTCTTTATGTAAAGCCTTGAGTTAAACTACCAATTTTATATGTGATACATTGTTTTTAATGAACTGAATTCTTCTCTTCAGCCTTATAATGCCTTCCTTGCTGCAGTAAAATGGATAATGACAGAACTTGTCTTGTAAGTACAATTTGCTGCATTTTTAAAAAGTTTTATTGCTTTTCTTTTTGAATTATAAAGTGGATTGGGAGACTGTGTTTCATGCTTTCAGTAACCATTAGATTCATAATACCCATTGAACATCTTGAAATATTGAACATTGAGACCAAAAATGATCTTTTATTAAGTTATTCATGGTCACTGCTTATGCCCTTATGTCATTGTTTCGCAGACTAACAGCTTGCAATACACAAACCAAATTTATTTATTGTGGTTACTGTTAAATTTAACATAGATGTCAGGCTGTTTTTAATGCAGCCTGGGTGGGCTGTGGTCAAAAGAACAAATTACCAGGGCTGTCCACTGTGTTGCTTCGGATGTCTCAGCTTGTGCAAGAAGCGGGGCGCTGTACAGGAGTGGGCCAGGGGCTGGGGGGTTTTCTCAGGTGTGATTTCATTGTTTATCCTGTCAAATTATGGTCCTGTTTGGAGGGTGCTGGATGGATCTGTGACTTAGGTCAAACTTGAAATGACACAAAGATGAAAGTCTTGACTTCCAGACAAAATATTGGACACAAGAAACAGTGTGTCACACAAAAGGCAGGAATTCCATGGACAAGCGTGGAAACCAGATCGTTCAAGCTGCACCAAGCTCTCTCATTCTTATTTTCCCCATTAAGGCTCCAGTTCTGTGGGTTTAAGGCAGATTTCTTGCCATTTGGTGAACAGACTTTGTCTTCTTTATTGCTTCAATATAATCTATTAACTTAATATTATAATTTGAAGTGGGAAGTAAGTTTTACATATATATGAGACGGAAAAGACAGTATCAGATAATAGTGGGATTCGGATTGAGAGTGAGCTGCTAGACATAGTAGCCACGAGCCTGAAAAGGAAATGACTGAATTTTGATCTATTTCCATTCATTTGGAGGATGGTTTATATTGCTTTTGCATTCGTTGAGACATTTGATTTTTTTTTTTTTTTTTTTGAGGAAGATTAGCCCTGAGCTAACTACTGCCAGTCCTCCTCTTTTTGCTGAGGAAGCCTGGCCCTGAGCTACCATCCGTGCCCATCTTCCTCCACTTTATATGTGGGATGCCTACCACAGCATGGCTTGCCAAGTGGTGCCATGTCCGCACCTGGGATCCAAACCAGCGAACCCCAGGCCACTGAGAAGCGGAACGTGCGAACTTAACCGCTGCGCCACGGGCTGGCCCCATAGATTATTATCACCCGTGGCCTATACGGGGATCAAACCCGCGACCTTTGTGTTATTAGCACCATGCTCCAACCAACTAAGCTAACCGGCCACTAGAAAATTTGGATTTTTATGAAGTTGCATTGTGGCATAATTTCATAAAGTGAAGTTTGTTCCATCTGCCTTTACACACACACAGCTGAACAAGTTTGTGTTACAGTATAAAATTTGAATACTGCTTTTGTTACTGCCAATCATAGTCTAGGTAGAGAATATCCTATTTGTATTTCTGACCCTAGGCAGAGGAAGCCCTTTAGCAGTTGACTTTTTACTATGGACTCAGACTATAACTAGAAAACTATTTCTTCTTGTAAAGCAGGGTATTTCTTAAAAGAGTCCTTGATACTAGGTAAACCTGATTTCAGAGTGTGGCTGGCATTGGTGATAAAATAGCCTTTCACAAGTAAGATAAAGCCCAGTGAAAATTCAGTGGTAACTGAACCAACCATGTTACTATCTCCAGATTGTGATGTCATTCTTTCAAGTGAGGTGAGCAATGCTGAACAACACAGAATGTCGCTGTTCTGGGGCTGGCCCGGTGGCGCAGCAGTTAAGTGCACATGTACCACTTTTGCCACCCAGGGTTCATCGGTTCCGATCCTGGGTGCGGACATGGCACCGTTTGGCACACTATGCTGTGGTAGGCATCCCACATATAAAGTAGAGGAAGATGGGCATGAATGTTAGCTCAGGGCCAGTCTTCCTCAGCGAAAAGAGGAGGATTGGCAGCAGTTAGCTCAGGGCTAATCTTCCTCAAAAAAAAAAAAAAAAAGTCGCTGTTCTGTTCAGGGTGTGGATGACCTAGTAACATTGGGCTTTTCCATCACCTGTTTAGGTTCCTGGTGGAATTTAACCTCTGCAGTTGGTGGCACTCAGATATAACAGCTAAAGGTAAGCAGCAACTGGTTTCTGTTTCCTGGCTCAGAGCGATAAATCCTGGGTCACTGGTACTTTTCATCAAGGACGTGCTCACATAAAACTACCCGGGACGAAGTGATGATTTTTCATCTCTGTCAGCAAAAGGCACCCTTTGTGCTAACTAACTGCAGCGCTGTTCCGTCTGACAAAAGTTCCACAGGCTTCATTCAGCCCGTGTTCAATGTACACTTTGACCTGTTTCCTTAATTAAGGCTTTGAGGTCATACATTGCACAGGTGAATTCTTCACAAAGCTCCTGGGCAGTGCTAAAAATCTAAGGGAGACAGACACGTTACCTTTCTCAGGCTGAATGAATGGATAACCACTCTGATGTTTTGTTGTATAATTACCCTCATAAAATATAAATCCTATAATATTACTTTCCCTCCTCAAAAGCAGTTAATGATTTGAGCAGTAATTAGTAGAAATGCTTAGAGGCATGAGTTGTGGAGTTAGGTCAGTATGGGTTTGGGTTCTGGCTCCGAGGTTTGGCCTTTGACAAGTTAGCTGATCTTTTCCAGGCTCCGTTTCCCCATAGTAAGCAAAATGGGGAAAATAAATAATATTAATCTTCTATCATTTGTGTGTGTCTGCATGTGTGTATTTAATGATGAGATAAATCATGTTGTATGCTGAACACAGTGACTGGAATATAGGAAGTCCTCAAAAAATGGCAGCTGTAATTAATTCACAATAGTGGTGATGACATTGTTGGCCACGACAATGATGAACAGTCGAGTCCCCATGCCCTACAGAACCAAAGCTCTTTAATGAGAGTCGCTTCCAGCTGTCTGCCCCGTCTGTTCAGTCACTTGTTTCTCAGATGCTCTCTGCTCTTTATTCCTGTCATGCTTTCATTCGTGTCCATTTAGTTTAACTGGGATACCAAGGACTAGCAGACTGCTGCTATTATTATTATTATTTTTTAAACTATCCATCATTTAAAAAGAGGTAGATTAGTAATGTATCAGCATTCCCCCAGGGGCTGGATTCCCTCAATTGTCTCAGGAAGAATTAGCACCATTTCCTTCTTGCCTCTGTCCGGGTCAGCTCACACATTCCTCCAGCTCTTCTGCACTCTCATTGCCTCCCTTTCTTTGTTTCAGAGTAAACTAGAATTTCTTGATGGCAGGTGCTACGTCTTAACCATCGTTATCCCTTAAGCACCTGAGTGGTGATTAATACATTGTAGATGGTCCATTTTTGCTTACTAAATACCCTCACAAATCTTTCTTTTGGCGGGGATGGCTATAAGGGTCGCTGTTGTCATAGCTTTGTAACTCAAAAATTGGTCCATTTTGCTTAAATTCTGGAACTCACTCGTTTCTTGTTAGAGTGTAAGTTGGAGCAACATCTGCAGAGAGTCTATGCATGCGTGTGCCTGCATGGAGTGGCCTCTGATCCTTGTGTTCAGAGTTGGCTCTATCCTGGGAAGCTAACAGCCCAGTGGAACAGGACCCGAATGCTCTGTTTCATCCACATACACGCTGTCCTTAGGCTGTGGGCTCAATCCTTGCCCCTTCCTGCTAGGTTTGCACCAGTTTTGAATGACAGTGAGTGCCCATAATCCCACTTCTAAAAATGTAGCCTAAGGGAAAAAAACTGAGACAGGAACAAAGGATTCTATGACAGGATAATCATCACCACGGATTTTATGATTGCAAATGCTGATAACTCTTAAATGATGAACAATAGGAGCATTTAAATATAAATTATAGCCCATCCACAGAAAGGCATGGGAGACATTTTAACAAGATTCTGTTTTTGAAAACTTTTTTTAAATGAGATACAGCTGATATATAACATTATATTAATTTCAGGTATACAATGTAATGTTTCAATATTTGTATATATTGTGAAATGATCTCCATGGTAAGTCTATTTAATATTCATCATCATACATAGTTACAAATTTTTTTCTTGTGATGAGAACTTTTAAGATCTACTCTCTCAGCAACTTTCAAATATACAATACACTATCATTAACTATAGTCACCATGCTATACATTACATCTTATGACTTCTTTTGTAACTAGAAGTTTCTACCTTTTGACCTCCTTCACCCATTTTGCCTACCCTTCACCCCCACGTCTGGCAACCACAAATCTGTTCTTTGTATCTATGAGTTTGTGGAGGTTTTTTGAGGAAGATTAGCCCTGAGCTAACATCTGCTGCCAATCCTCCTCTTTTTTTTCCTGAGGAACACTGGCCCTGAGCTAATATCCATGCCCATCTTCCTCTACTTTATATGTGGGATGCCTGCCACAGCACGGCGTGCCAAGCAGTGCCACATCCGCACCCGGGATCCGAACTGGCAAACCCTGGGCTGCGGAATCGGAATGTGTGAACTTAATCACTGTGCCACTGGGCCGGCCCGGAGTTCGTGTTTTTTGTATTTTGGGTTTTTTTAGATTCTACATATAAGTGAGATCATATGATATTTGTCTTACTCTATCTGATTTATTTCACTTAGCATAAGACCCTCAAGGTCCACCCATGTTGTCACAAAGAGTGAGACTTTCTTCTTTCATAAGGCTCAATAATATGCCATTGTGTGTTTGTGTGTATATATATATACACACATACCACATTTTCTTTATCTGTTCATGTGTCGATGGACACTCAGGATGCTTCCATGTCTTGGCTGTTATATGTAATGCTGCCATGAACATGGGGATGCAGATATCTTTTTGCGTTAGTGTTTTCTTTTTCTCCAGATGTATATCCAGAAGTGGAAATGTTGGATCATGGTAGTTCTCTTTTTAATTTTTTGAGGAACCTCCACATTGTTTTCCATAGTGGCTGCACCAATTTACATTTCTACCAACAGTGCACAAGGGTTTCCAATTCTCCACATCCTCACCAGCACTTGTTATTTCTTGTCTTTTTGATAATAGCCATCCTAACAGGTGTGAGGTAATATCTCATTGTGATTTTGATTTACATTTCTCCAATGATTAGTGATGTTGAGCATATTTTCATGTACCTGTTGGCCATCTGTATGCCTTCTTTGGAATCTGAAAACTTTTTAACAAGGTACAAAATTCTCATAAAGTTAAGTAATATAGCAAGAAAAACAATATATAAAACTGTATATACCCACCAAAAAAATCCAGTGATGGGGCAAAGGAGGCTGAGGAATTAAATAGGGTCGATAATCAGTAATGGCCAATGGGGAATCAGTAAGCAGAGACCAAAATATGAATTAGGAGAGAAGACTATCCTGTCCGCAAGGGAAAATTTTACCTAGAGTGTGAACCTGCTTTTGTTTAAAATTGCACGTAATTTGAAAAAGAGAGATGAGAAGGAACCTACTAAATGGGTGCTTGTCACCTTTTTCTATTTTCTTTTCTTTGACCAGCTTTTCCACATTTTACTATTAGAGGTGAAGAAGATAAATGAGATTAAAAGAGAGAAAAAGAATAAAGGTCAATAGCGGCCAAGAGAATGGATTGGAAGTCAGTGAAATGGCTGCTGTTTCTGCAGCACCAGTCCTGGGGACGAATCGCTGCTCCTTCCCAGTCAGGCTTTAAGCTCTGGGAGCCTGGAGAGGCTGCTTTGCCTGGAATATTGAGCACCCTGGCTTTGGAGCCATGCCTCCTTCCTCTGCTGCTTGCTGGCTGTGAGGCTCTGGGCATGTCACTTGGTCTCTCTGGCCTTTGGATTCCTTGTTTGTCAATGGAGATAACAACAGACATAATGTGGTTGTGAGAAATGAATTAAACAGTGTGTGCAAAGCCCATGTGCGAGACATGGCACAGAGCAGAGGCTCCACTCACGGGCCGGGGGGGGCGGAGGGGGCGGTGCGGGGGAGGAAAGGCAGTGCTCACCTTTTGAGTGGTGGTGGGTTTTTTTAGCTGATACGTCTGGCTCTTTCTTGAGTGTGCTCAGTGCCGAGGGCAGCAGGCTGGTCATCTTCAGGGTTTACTTTTTGGCATTCCTCTTCACGGCCGTGTGTCTACCCACCTCTGGCTGAGGGGCTTCAGTGGTGAGCGTGAGGATGCCCACTCCTTCATGCCCATCTCCATTCCCTCCTCCCCCATTGTCGCCTTGGCCTGCTGCCCTTCCCCATGGCCTGCTGCCACAGGTATCTGCCCACACTCTTGTTCCGGTCCTTCACATTTGACACTTAGTTGTTAGGGTTTTGTTGAGTGCCTGTCACTGGGATCTTTACTTAGACCAGTGTTTTGCAACCAGGGGGGAATTTTGCCTGCCAGGGGTCACTACAATGTCTTGAGACATTTTTGGTGGTCACAACTTGGGGTGGGAGAGTGCTCCTGGCATCCGGTGGGTAGAAGTTAGGGATGCGGCTAAGCATCTTACAACACACAAGAGGTGGCCCCTCCGAACAAAGAATTATCTGACTCAAAATGTCAATAGTGCCACTATTGAGAAACTCTGGTGTAGACTGAGGGGTGTAGGGTAGGAGAGATGAATAAGGAAGGAGAATATGGACTTTGCACTCCTGATGGTTACAGAAACTGGTGAAGCTTCCCATTCTGAAACTCCACGTCCCCTCTCCTGCTTCCCCCTCCCCACCTGGAACAACAGTGGACAAAATGTTACCTAAGAGGAATAATGCGATGCTTCAGCTCTCTTGTTTTCTGTCTTAGGAAGCTTTTACTCTAATAGATAATTCCAAGTCATCTCCACACTTGGAGACCTTCTTCACACAGACCGTGCAAAGAACTTGTCAAATAATTATATTGTCAACACGTGGTGTGGCAATATATAGTGCTTTTCCATTTCACAGTGCTTCAGATCCCTTCAACATGCCAAAGGAGTAGGGACTGCTAGAATTTGTCACTAAACCTCTCTGAGGCACCTAAATCAGACAGCTAATAGATATTGGGCTCAGACCTAAACCCAAACCTGCCGCCTCAGCTAGAGAATGGTGAGGGATGCAGCTGCCCTTCTTTGAGCCTCGGGTTGAGTTGGTTCTGCATATGAATTGTCTCATTCAGGCCTACAGCCCTCTGCTGGACAGCCCTATGACTTTTTCCACTTTATAGTTGAAGAAACTGAATCAAATGGGAGTGAATGAACTCACTCATGGGGCTGCTATCATCTGGATATCTTTGTTAAATGTAAATGTAAATCTTAGATCCAATGTAAGGAGAGAAAACTTTCAAGCACCATAATGATATTGACTTGCAAGGTTTCTTCGTTCTAAATTTACCATTCCCTTACTAGATAAAGACCCTGAGCTGAGACATACGTCTTTGTTTAGCTAAAAATGGAATCCATAATTACACTGTTTATCTGCTTCATTTCCTTGATGAAGGGGACTGTGGAAGCCCATTTCTGCTTGATTATCACAAAGGTATCATTTTGGCGAAGTTGCACAAAGAGAATGGAGCTTGCTGGCACCCGGTTATGAATGGGGGTGCATTCACAGAGACAAAAGAAGAGGAAAGCTTTTCAGATGGCAACTCTATTCATTCCCAATTGTCTGCACATAATTACTGTGAACTCAAGTCAGTTATTCTCATCAGGGACATTTGTTGCTAAGGGAAAATTAAAGAAATTCAATTGTGTGGATGCTCCATTGGGTGCTTCATTGTGAGTGAGTGATAGGTCATGGTGGCTTCAGCTTGAGACATCCAGCATAAGTGGGGTGGGAGGCAGAGCAGTGTAATGGCAAAGAGTGTAGGCGACAGAATGTGACACCCTCCTGGGTGTATCTGGGCTCTACCACTTATAATAACAGTGTGACTTTGGGAAAGATCTTCATTTCTCTGAGCTTTACTTTCTTCACATGTAAAGTAGGAGAGCAGCAGGGCCTCACTCACTGCGTGGTGGTAAGGATTCCGTCCACGCAAAGGGCCTAGCATGGTGTTTGGTATAAAGGAAGTGCTTAGTGAGGATTGGCTGCGAAGGTGGTGGAGGTTTTGCTGTTAACATAAATGATGATCGTGGCGAGTCACTTTCTGTGGGACTCAAGGCAGGCTATCTCTGCTTTCTGAACCTCAGTTTTCCCTTCTGGAAAAAAATCAGTCTAGCTGAGCTCCATGATCCTTGTGTACCTACACCTTTGTAAGACAGTGAGTTTTAAATGCCTAGGAGTTAAAACAGTACCCATTAGATCGCTGGCAGCCTTAGTTATTGGTTTGAAATTCCATAAACAGTAATGACTGGCAAATATATGTGGTGTTTTCCATAGCGCTCCAGACAAAGAAAGGTTTTCATAATAAACCATGTTATTTTAGATTAAATGTGGCCATGGCTTTATATGATAATTTCTGTGTTTCCCAAAAGCGCATCAAGCAACTTTCAGCCAATCTATAGCTGTGCTGCAAATAGACTCAATGGGTTATCAACACATCAAATGGGTGCCCTACGATTGTCAAAGGAGCAAGAATTTCATCTCCAGAAAGGATCAGAGCCAAATGAGTCTCGCCATTGAGAGAACTGGACTCATTCCATTGCGTCTGGGCCCAGACAATTAGAATTAGAGATGGTGCAATTGTTGGGCTTATTAAGTCACGTGTGCAGCCTCTTTCAGCCTGCCCCCAAAGACCTTTCTTCCTTTCCTTCATTGGCAAAACCTCACAGAGCAGTTAAATATATATGTGCTGGAGCCAGGCAGCCCAAGTTCAAATTTTGGCTCTGCCACATACTCACTGGGTGATGGGGCAGTTTACTCAGTCCTCTCCTCCATTCGCTAACCCTCAACACAGAGATAACAACTCTTCCTCCCTCATAGTTTCTTTTTTCATTTTGTCATGTTTTACTGTTAAATTAATACATGCAAAGCAGAACAGCATCTGGCACATAGTAATTTCTTAATAAATTTAGCTGCCACCATCGTTACATTATTATATGCCATCTGCATGTTTGTGCTATATGCACTTATGATCTGTGCTTTTATTTACTTAATCTTTATTTCTCTTTGACTGACTCACTCTTTGGCATTTAAATAAGTAAATGTTAAGAGGAAGCTTCTCACCTTGAAGGTCCACATCGCTTGCTGCACAGAGTAATCAATTGTGACAACAGGAGCCAGGGAAGCAGTGTCACCAAATGGTAGCCAGATACTCTGAGCTTTGTATTTGGCCTCCTGAGGTTTAAGCAGAGAAGAACAAATGAAAGAAAAATGAAAATGAAAGAAAGATAGTCAAAATTTCCTAGGATTAAACAAAGACTTCCTCCCGACAAAAACAGGGTCATTGAAAAAGAGCTGGGAAAGGAATGGTGTTCCCACCCAATTCCTACCAAGCCCTCTCTGTGTTGTTACCATTGGGCCTGGGCCACCTAAAACCAACCTTCCACCTGAAGCCAGGCAATTTGTCATTAGGGACTGAGATTCTCACATTTCCTTTGTCTGTTTTATTTTCCTGAAATGTGCCATTCAGGAGAAGTATTGGTTTTTTCAGCAAGCATGTAATGACACTTCCTATGAGCTAGCACTGCAGGGCACAGGGGACAGACAGTGTCTGGGACCTGGCCCTTTGGGAGCATGACAGCGATCAGCACTGGACCAGGAGGAGTCAGGAGTCAGGGTGGCAGCCAAAAAGCAATGGCTCAAAAGGCCAACAGTTGAGGATTCAATGAAATAACATGGGTAGAAGAAGTCATGGTAGCAGTGTGCACCTACACTTAAATAGCACTCATAATATACCAGCCACTTCCCATGTATTAACTCATTTGGTCCTCAAACAACCGTGTGAGGTTGGTACTGTTATTCTCATTTTGCATTTGAGGACACTAAGGTGTAGAAGGTTAAAAGCTCACCTGATGTCACACAGCAATGGCAGAATTCACAACTCCCAGTGTTTGTGCTCTGGGCTACTACGCAATTAGCCCAACTCCTGACATGTAGAGATAACACTCTTTAACAACTAGCGTTTCATGAAGGCTGTGTGTGTGTGCACACATGTGTGAAAGTGTGCATAGGTGTCACTCCGTTAAGAGCTGTAGATGCTTTAGTCCATTTATTCCTCAGAACAACCCTGTGAGTTAGAATGGGCGTCTCCCCTTAATGTCAGTGACCAGTTCCTGGAAATCACATTATGCATTAAAAAAGCTGATTGAATCCACTTCCTTTTTGTTTTAAATAAGAAAAATTACAATGCAGTATGCTTCAACCCCAAACCCTCAATCAATTTCCTCAAATTAAAGCTCAGTAAAAAGGCTATATATTAAAAGCAATCACGTTAGGATATAAATGCTTAGAACATGGCTTCTTGATCATCTAACAATTATCTGGTTGTTACCAAACAGATGTTTTGTATTCAATCGCCCTGTGATGGCTCCCTTAATGCCAGCAGCCTCTTGGGTGATGGTCCACAAAACATCGACCCATGGCTCAGACCTCCCACCGGTTGTATTTGGAATATAACTTGAGACTTTGTCCAAACATCATTTTCTCAAAATCCTATTGAGTTTTGGAGTTGAAAATGTAAATTATATATTATATATAAAAATATATACTTAAAAATGTATATTTGTATTTCTGTATAAACATCAGCCAAAAACTTTGTATGAAGTTTGGGCATTGGAAACCTACAAGCGTTCTACTGGGAAAATGTTAATGAGCAGACCTGTGAAGACATGTGTACTACTAGCATCTCCATTTTACAGATGAGAATACTGAGCATTAGCTAGAAGCAATGGAGCAGGGATTCATAACCCAAGCTTCTCTGACTTCACCCTTAACCACGATGCTATAGTATCTGTCATCATTGTCATGATCATCATTTTAATGTCATAATGGCTTCATTAGAATGCTAGCATTGTTTTTGTTGTTGTTTTTGCTATTATTGTTATTAATTGACATTTACTTAGTACTGCTTGTGTTGCAGGTACTGTACTAAGTATTCAACTTATATTGTTTCATTTACTTCTCACATCAACTTCTGATAGAACTATATCATCTCCCTTTTACAAATTTAAAAAATTGAGGCTTAGAGAGGTTTTAGAACTTGCTCACTGGATATAACTTGTTTCAATTATTTAATCAACCACCAGACCCTTACCAAGTGCCTCCTCTGGACTCATCCACGTACCAGGTTATTTAGTGCTGTATTACTGGACAAGGAACTTCATAATAGTAGGATTAGGTTCATGGCTGTGGTTCAAAGACATTACATATTTTACTATTCCATATTTCAATTTTGTTTCTGTAATAAAACCATGTAATTGTATCATGACCTTTGTCTCACCCTAAATAATATGGTGTAACTTATATTTTCTACATTTATTCAGATACACATATGTGTTGTTGCTATGTTCAAGTAAGTCTGAGGTCAGAGACCTGGTGGCTGACGTTATCCCAGAAAGTAGAATTCTTGTGATGCATAAATGATAGTTGATCAAGCCAACACAACTGCTGGAGGAATTATAGCTTATAGAGTTGCTTGGCAGATGAAATCACTTGACTAATTAGAAAATAATGCATTATGCTGTGCCTAGAAAAATCACAGGGCAGCAGGAGCGGAACTGCGTTCTGAGTTACTGTGAGCTGCCAGTCACAATAAAGCCTGTGCCTTGTGTTCTTTATCGTTTTTTTTTTTTCCTTATCCCTACAGCCCAGAAATTGAAGCAGACCTTGGAGCCTTGTGATACTGAATATCCAGCGTTTGTCTCTGAGCGCACCATCAAGGAAACCTCAGGGAACATTGCTTGCGAAGACTGCTCCAAGTAAGTGTCCCCTCCCCTCTCTGCTCAGGATAGAACTTTCCCAGATGCGCCAGCGACTGGCGTGCACGCAATCACATGGAGAGATGGAAACATGGCTGCCCTCTTGTGTGAGGAAGTATTTCCATCATCTTGGAAGAAACACCACTTGGCTTTCTTAGATCATTTAGAGTTTGGGAAGTGTTCAAAATGCATGAAAATACATCCTAGAACATAGGCGATTTTTAGTCCAGTTTTTGGACAGTCGGAATAAGCCCTAATGGGTGTTTTCCCAATTGACAGTTGGCAATTTCAGCTATGGGTTTGAGCAAAGTCCTTAGGTGTCTTTATCGAAGGCGCTAAGCCTTCAGGATTCACCGAAATCTGACATATTGGAAATAATTTCGTGGTGGCTTAATATGAGTTTCCCTGATTACTAATGAGGTTGGGTCTCTTTTACTGGTTTTATTGGTTATTTGGGTGGGGTTTCTGGCCTCTTCATTCCTGTTGGCAGTTCTCTGTTGGGTGGTGAATCTATTCTTACTGATTGGGGTGTTCTTTCTATGTCTCAGGTATGGTTTCTTTGCAGTGCTAAGCTTTGTGTATGTCTTCCTATTCCTTTGTCTGTCCCTTCACTTTTTGTGCATGTCTTTAGATGCACAGACATTTCCCTTTGCTTTTATTTTAATATAGTCTAATTTATTCCTCTTTTCTTCTTTGATTTGTGTATTTTGTACCTTGTTTAAGAAACTAGTCTCTGCCCTAATGTCATAATTATATTCTCATATATTTTCATTCTCAATACTTTAAAATGTTGCCTTTCACATTTAGGACTTTAATCCCACTGGAATCTACTTTTATGAGTGGCAGAGATAGGGTCTAATTTGGTCCTTTTCCATGTAGTTGGCCCGTTAATCAGCACTTTTTATCAAATAGTCTTCATTTTCCAATTTATGAGTTCCCATCTATATGCAGATCTGTTTCCAGGTTTTGTGGTTTGCCAATACCTATGTCAACATGATATCTCTTTAATTATTATAACTGTATACAATGAGTTGATATTTAAGAGAACAGACATTCTTTCCTTATTTTCTTTCTAAATCTTCTTGGCTATTCTTGCCTCTTTACTCTTTCATGTTAATTTTGGAATCAGCTTATTAATTGCCATGAATTATTCTATGGTTTTGATTAAAATTGCTGCAAGTTATATATTAATTTGAAGATAATTGCTATCTTTTATGATATTGGAACTTCCCACTTACAAACTAAGTATATCTCTTTATTTACATGCCTTTCAATATAGTTTTATAATTTTATGTCAGATTTATACCTAGACAGCTTATAGTTTTTCTTGCTATCAGAAAGGGCATATTTAAAACTGCATTTGCTAATTGGTAATTTTGAGTGTATGAGAGCATCACTGATTTTTGTGTATTAAATGTCTTGTATCCACTTGCTAACTGCTTTTCTAGATTTAATAGTTTTGTGTCTGGATTCTCTTCATACACAGTAATATCATTTGTGAAAATTTTTCTTTCCAATCTCCATACTCAATTATTGTTTTATTGCACTGGACTTCTGACACATTGTTGAATAGAAGCAGTGAGAGAAGACAATTGTGTCTTCTTCCTAATTTAAAGGGATTGCTTCTAATAACTTCATGTTAAGTATGTTTGCTATAGAATTTTTAAAATTGTAGTAAAATATAAATAATATAAAATTTACCATTATAACTATTTTTAAGTGTACAATTCAAGGGCATTAAGTACATTCACAATGTTGTGCAACCATAACTATTATCCATTTTCTAAATTGCTGTAAGTTTTTGGTAGTTAACTATTTATTAAGTTAAAGAAAACCTTTCAAGAGTGTTTTTTGCTGCTGTTGTTAGTGTTTGAAACTTGAATGGATGTTGAATTTTATCAAAAAAATTTTTTACATCTATTATGAAAATAATTTTAATTTGTTAACTTGAGGTACATTGATATAATTTTTAAAAATTTCAAATCCTGAATTGTATCAATATACTATAAATATCTTTAAGAGTAGATGGGCTGTCTAATGTGAAAATGTATTTGCTTTGCCAGGATAGACTTTGGTTGTCATGATTACAAAAAACAAAAAACAAAAATCGTATTACTAGATTCATTTGCTCGTCTTGCATTGTGAACGTTTGCATCTGTGCTCAGAAAGGAGGGTGGGCTGTACTCGTCCTTTCTTGTACTGTCATTTGGCTTTGCTATTAAGGTCATTTTATTGTCACAAAATTACTTGGAGGGTTTTCCTTCTTTCTGTAATATCATTAACATTTTGTATCAGATTAAATGATCTGTTTCTTGTAGGTTTGGTAAAGCTTACCCATAAAACTACCAGTGACTGATGGGCTTTTGTTTATTTATTTGTTTGTGTGTGTAAGTAAATTTTCAACTGCTGAATTAGTTTCTTCAGTGGTTAGAGATCTCTTTGGAATTTCCGTATCTTTTTGAAATAATTTTGGTGATTATATTTCTTAGAGCATTGCCTATTTCATCTTGCTTTTCAAGTTTATTGCGTGCCTGTGTTAATAGTGTTCTCTTTTGATTAAAAATGCTATCATATTTGTGACTTTGCCCCTTTTTAAATCGATCTCCCTCTCCCTCCTCCTCTCTTTCCCCTCCCTCCATCTCTGTCTAACTCTCTCCCTCCCACCCTCCCATGTGTCCCCCTTGCGTCTCTCCCTCCCTCTCTCTCTATACCCGAAGAGATGTTTTTTTGTTTTTCTTTCCAAAGAACCGTTATTTAGTTTGTCTGTCTCTCTCTGTTGTTTCTTTGATATGCTATTTCATTTATTTTGCTCCTATCTGTATTATTACCTTTCTTCTATGGTGTTGGTGTTTACGCTATTTTTTATTTTCTAACATTCTGTGTTTGATGCTTAGCCTTTTCAACTTCATTCATATATGTTAGAGTGAGATATATATAATTTCTTTCTGCCTTCCAGTTTATCTCCATAATTTTTTTAAATATGTAGGGCTTTCATTATTATTCAACTCTAACAATTTTATTTTTTTTCTTTGTTTGTTTGTTTGAGGAAGATTAGCCCTGAGCTAACTACTGCCAATCCTCCTCTTTTTTCTGAGAAAGACTGGCCCTGAGCTAACATCCATGCCCATCTTCCTCTACTTTATATGTGGATGCCTACCACAGCATGGCTTTTGCCAAGCTGTGCCGTGTCCGCACCCGGGATCTGAACTGGCGAACACCGGGCCACTGAGAAGCAGAACATGTGAACTTAACTGCTGCGCCACCGGGCCAGCCCTGACAGTTTTCAAATTTCCCAATTTTTTTGATCTGTAAATATTTAAACAGCATTTTAAGATTTCCTAATATATGAGTTTTGAGGCTATCTTTTTTTTTATTATTGATGTCTAATTAAATGACATTATGGTCTGTATAGCATGTATGTTTTAGTGTGTGGGGAGTCTTGCTTTGTATTCTAGTACTTGTCCATGTGTTTTTGAAGGAAGTTTCATTCTCTAATAGCTGGGTAGAGGATTAATATATTTTAATATATTAATATATCTATTGGCTCAAGTGTGTTAATTGTGTTTCAAACTTCTCTTATTTTATTTTTATTTTTTGGTCTATTTTAGATATCAGTTAATCTCTTACCAGGCTTAGGGATTTTTCAGCTACTTCATGTCATTCGATTCATTTTTCTCTCTATATTTTGAAGCTATATTACCACGGACAGCTCTGTTCATGATGGGTATAGCTTCCTAACATGTTATTCCTTTCATCACTGGGCAATAACCCTCTTTACATGAAAGTGCTTTATGTTTTAATATCTACCTTGTTTGCTAATGCCATAAATATAGTAGTTATTCTTTTGGTAATATTTTTAGGGATATTTTCCCCCTTCCCTCCATTTTCAACTCTTTTTTGTCATTTTTTGTTAGGACTTTGACCTATAAATAGAATAGAAGTGAATTTGAAATTTTCATTACCTCTATTATTGGTGGATTTAATCTTTTAAAATTTATTCTGCTTACCAATAAGTTTGGATTTATTTCTGTTGTCATTTTATATGCTTTCTAATTCCCCAAGCTTTTTCTTTGCTTGCTTTCTTTCTTGTTTGTGTGTGTGTGTGTGTGTGCCTTCTATTGGATTATTGAGTTTTCTCTATTCCTTTCTTATATATATATATTTTTTTTTTTGCTGAGGAAGATTGGTAACATCTGTTGCCAATCTTCCTCTTTTTTTGCTTGAGGGAGATTAGCTCTGAGCTAACATCTGGGCCAGTCTTTTTCTATTTTGTATGTGAGTCACTGCCACAGCATGGCTGACAAGCAGTGTAGGTCCGTGCCTGGGGTCCGAACCCATGAACCCAGGCCACTGAAACAGAGTGTGCCAAATTTAACCACTACGCCACAAGGCTGGCCCATCACTCCTTTTTTTAGTGGTTACCCCTTTTAAACATATTTCACTCAGTCAGGATCTCTTTCCTCCTCCAGAACAAACAAAAACAGAACTATAATTGGGTTACCTCTCACCCCTTCATGTAATATTGTCTAACATTTTAGTTCTACTGTGTTTTTAACCCACTCAGTGTTTTATCGTAGTTGTTGCTGTCTATAGTAAATGAGGTGTTTACCAATTGTTTTTTTAATCATTGTTTTTTTTCCTTAAACCATTGCTTTTTTTTTTCCAGCTCTGTAGAAGTTATTTTCAGGAATGATCTGGAGTGGTAAATTCTCTCATCCTTTATCAGAAATGCCTTATTTAATATGTACTCTGCAGCGATCATTTAACTCCATAGTGTCTAAATTGAAATATTCTGAAGATATAGTTCATGGTCTTATGCCTTCTAGCTTTGCACCTCTGTAAACAGTCTGAATTTTTCCCCTCTCTGGTGGCTTATAAAGTGTGTACTCTCTCTTTAACACTCTGAAATTTCACTGAAGTGTGTCTAGATATAAATTTACTTCTATTTGCTTATGTACTTTATTCTGGATAATTTCCTTACACTTGTATTAGAGTTCACT